AAAAAAACCTGGTAAGCCTCAGATGGTGCACTGATTCTCAGCACTGGATCTCATTTCAGAACATCACTCTTCACTATTTGTTATTGTGTTGCAATATCTTGCCTAATTTATTTAGATAAAACTTACAACGTTTATATCTTGGGTACATTAGGCAATGTTAAAGATTCTATGTACAAAAGGTAAATAGTACATATAGAAAAATAAAAACGTTCTGCATTAGTACTACATATAGTGCCTATTGATTGCAAAATTCATTCATAAACAGAAGACTTTTTACGCTTTGCTTGTTCTAGCACATTGACAAGGAATAATCATTTCCCCTCTTTGGTTTGTAATTGGCATAATTTCTCAAAATCAAAAAAAAAAATTTTTTTATTTAATTAATTCATCATTTACTCAACCTCATGTTGTCCCAGTCAAACTGGGAGACCTTTTCTTTCTTTCCCAGTCAGACTTTTTTTTTTTTTTTATTGTGTGGGACAAAATAAGAGAAGGTCATACAAGTTTGGAACAACATGAAGGTGAATAACTGATGACTGAATTTTCATTTTTCATCTTTGATCAATGCTAATCAGTCTGTCAGTCACAATGCTGGGGACTTTGCCCTTAATTCACATGGTAAACGAAGTGCCATTTTCATTGTACGAGCCATCCATAGAGCGCCGCGTGGAAACGTACATTTCAGTGGTGGCCCGTGAGGACCGTCTCGCTGACATGTAGTTCTTCCCCAAGCACCAGATGTCCTGTAAGATCTTCCGGAAGTGGTTTCTGAAATTCACCCCGATGAAGGCGTACAGCAGGGGATTGAGACAAGCGTGCAGGTACGCCAAGCTTCTCGTTATGATCACGGTCAATCCGATGGACTCCTCAACGCTGCATTCCTGCTCTTGAAACATGTTGATGGTATAAAACAACAGTGCTATATTATAAGGCATATGGCAGACCACAAACACAAGGACCACAGTGAGGACCACACGCACTGCCTTGTGTCTCTGAAAGTTCTTGGCCTGAAGGAGGGTGACAATGACGCTGGAGTAACAGAATCCCATGATCAGCAGCGGCAAGAAGAAACCCAACGCAACCTGAGAGCTGGGCACCACAGTTTTCATCACACGTGCCGTTTCATTTGACTGAAATTTAAAAAAGCAGACATATGGCCCGTCTTCACTGTCAGTAACGTTCCAAATGCTGGATTCAGATGGGCCGGGTTGGTAACGCTCATAAAACATGAAGGTAGGAAGGGACAAGAGCAGGGCCGACAACCAGACGACCGCGCAGACCAGGTGGCTGTAAAGCAGAGTGCTTGAACGCAGCCGGAAGGACCGGCGGGCCTGTACGATGGCAAGGTAGCGATCTCCGCTGATGCAAGCCAGGAGCAGCATGCCGCTGTAGAGGTTCACGCTGTAGATGCCACGCAGAAGCTTGCAAGACAAGTTCCCCATGGACCACCCATACTGCTCGCTGTAGATAATCAAAGGCAGTGCCACCACAAACAGGATGTCAGCGATGGCCACGTTCAGCAGATACACGTCAGTCATGGACTTGGTCCGCTTGTAGAGAGCGTACGTCACGATCACGAGAGCGTTGCCGATGAAACCAACCAAACAAATGATAGGGTGAACAAATAACTGGAGGAAGTTCTCAATCTTCACTTTGCGCTCCATCGAACACGGCTCCACCATTTCATCATACGCAGCTTGTAATATTTCAGAGTAGTTATCATTGATGTAATCATATTCCTCCATTTTCTCCCCTTGAGACTGCAAGGAAAGAAAAAAGAACAGGAACATAGGTCAAAACCAAATTTTATGGCAGAGCTCAATTAACTGAAATCTAACGTACAATTAGGTTTAAAATGTAAAAAGTATTTATATTACAATATCAAAAACAAAGAAATGCTTAATTTTTCCTAAGAATGCAGGAGACACTGGTGCCCAGTGTTCGAACTATACCGTGTACTTTGGGGGAGCCCACTTGTTTTATTTTTTATAGGGGGGGTGGGGTGCGCTTGCGCGTGGCCTTACAATGACTTACAAAGATACATAACAGCTACAAGTGTAGTAACAAGTAAAGCAGTACTTGCTTTATGCAAGCACTATATAGGATGAATCACTATACAGGATTACCCTATTATACTTTATCGACATGAATTGATAGGTGAAACAACAAACAGCCACCCACAAATAGTCTATAAACAAAGCATCAGGCTGTCTTTGAGTTCATGAACAACGGTTAAAGTTACTCGTCGTCAGGCTACAGAAGAATACCATAATTCCTCCGTTCAATTAGGCCTAAGACATCGAGAGTCACGCAGACCTATAACAACCCAGCCACAACACATAATTGCGAATAACATGCCTTACCTTAACACATAATCGACCACAGTCCAGCGTTTATATTTTTTCTACGAATCTTTGAGTTAACATGTACTAAACATGAGTGGAATTTGCACCGCAGCGCCCCCACACCTTGATGCTCATGACAAGAATAGCTTATAGTTATCTTTATTGAATTAGTTTTAAATCGCCGTCATGCATGAATGAATGATATTTTTGCAATTTTACACATAATAATCCACGATGATCACATTACACAAAACTGAAATTGCACGTCAAAATAACACATTGTCAATATTTTTTGAGACCCCCCAAAATTTCACAAATCACGTTTTCAGGGGAGCCCATGTCTTATTAAGGGGAGCCGAGCTCCCTCTAGCTCCCCCGTAGTTCGCACCCTGCTGGTGCCATCGTTTTGCAGCTGCTTTATAATATTTCATAAGAATCTGTGAGTGTGAGTTACAGGACAGATTAAATCCAATCATTCACTCCACACCAGGAAAAAGCTCTCAGTGCAAATGTTGCTTTGTAGTTTGACATTTTACCTTTGCAGAAAGAGGAAATCTGCAGAAAATCAGGTCACGTACGCAGCAAGATTGAATGCATACAACCTATTTACTGGCCATTAGTCCTGAAGAAGACGTTTGTCTAGCAAAGCATTGCATTTCTCAACTATTTACTACTTTCCATGCATTCATACGTTTCATAGCAAGCATCAAGCATGAAAAATAGGCATTTGATAACATCAGGATTCAGGAAAAAAAAATTTTGTTTAAAGTGCTTACCATACACCCAAACAATAATTTATGAAACACAACAAACAAACAAACAAAAACATGTTGTTTTATAAAGGCTATTATTAATTCAATAAGAACACATACAGAGAGTGTGGTTCGTGCACACGGGGGGTGGGAGCGAATGGAAACATACAAATATTTCCAGACAAGGTTTTACAGAGTTATTTATTTTGTTCATGTCTTTACTTGTTACTGGCGTATAGAATTATGCACATTCATTCATTGCTATGAAAAAAGACGATGCTATTTATCTATCTATGTATTTATATCTCTCTCTCTATATATATATATTAGTTTTGAGCAAATTTTTTTTACCTTAAGTGGACCAATATCAGTTTGCAAGAGTCTCACTTAATCACAGATACTGCACACTAAAATCTTCAAATTTAAATATATACACACCAAGACTAACATAAATAATTTGTCTGCAAACTGGGTAATTAAATACATACGTATTAACACAAACAGGCACTGACTTACATTTCCACTTAAAAATTTAACATGTGACTGAAGTGGAAAAATGAAGCAACTTACCAGTATCTACACAAACAAGTCTAATGGAAAGCAGTGAGAGGTTTCTGTTCCTTCTGGTTCCTGATCAGGAAAGACAACTTGGGTAGGGCACAGCTGCGTAATAAGAATGACAATTATCTGAACTGAGCAGAAGGCGGCACTTCACTGAGAGCTCTATAGGAACATGTAGGTGTGAGTGTGAGACCATCAAAGCTGCCTGACACACATACACTGTCTAGATTATGGTTTCATGTAAACGGTTGATGCTACACCTCAAAAAGAAATACCCAACCGAGCACTTAATGCATGGTTCAAAAAGTCTTGAAGACTAATTTCACTGTGATGTCTGCTACAATTTCACTGACATTAAAACTGTTACACAACTCAACGACTGGTATTATTTTAAATCGAGAAGTCACAATTTGCAATCCTTTCATTTCTGTACTTCCGGTTTTTTAAAATGGCAATAAAGAAAAACAGGAAGAGTCAACAGTCAGATTGTAATTAATTATTTATTGTCAACTAAATCCATAAATACATAAAGTATAAAATAAGGAACTGACAGTTAGATGTCAAGCAACATCTTCCATGTAGTCGGCACCCAAACTTATCTGCGAGACGCTCACATCCTGAGTGGTTTCATCAAGCTAGAAAAAAGAGAGTAAGAGAAACCAAATAAAATGATGAGATTAGAGTCAATAAGATCCAAAATCACAGTCAAGGTTATTATTTTTTGTTATACTATGAGTACTAATGTCACTTCCTCTCACTGCCTCATTGGGCCTCTTTAAGTACCCATATTTGCAATTAACAAACATGCCACTCTCACTTCTTGCCTTTTACACAATGCATTCTTATCCATGAGGCCAATCTATTGACATTTGTCCCTCTTCACATAGATTTTTGAAAAGTGGGGCCATAATTAAGTGACATTAAGAATAACCACATCAATGTTGCATTCATACTGGATTATAAATGTCAATCATTTCTTTACAAGGTTAATAATAATTTATCTGAAAATGATCAAGAACCACAGTCATTTAAACTCCTTCTGAAACACGCAATGTCAACACAAGTAATGACACCTTTTTGAAGAATACCTTATCGCTGATGTCAGGCCCCTCTATCGACACCTCCTCAATCTCCTCATCGATGCTCACTTCACTCTTAGAGTTTTCAGAGCGATGACTGAAGAGAAAAGAGAGAGATGACAACACCATCAGAATTCAGACTGAGCAAAAATAACATCTGAAACATCTGACGGGCACATTTTTTACCTGTTGAAGTCATCGTCATAGTAAAGATCATCATCTGCAAAGCATTTTTTAAAAAAAGGAGAAATGAGGAATGTGATAGTGAGTAGAGTTGTTTGATTTGATGGTTCAAGTCAAAAATTGAATGTATTATTGAGGAGTTCCTACCCAGCAAAGGGGATGCAGTTTTCTCATTTGGGACGGGAAACTCTTTTACACCCTTATCTTTAGAACTAGACGAACCTACGACAGAAATTATAGAGAAAAGATATTAGTGTCAAAATTCTTATCAATCTTTAGGCACCTCATGAGTTGATTCAGTTTCGATCCAGAAAGTCACAATCCCACTCAGATGATTCATGATGTTTTCCTTTTTTTTTTCTTTAGAAACCTTTAGTGGGTTAAATTATGTGTAAAGATTATGCATAAATGGCATACTAAAATATGTCAACTCTGCCCACAAACGAAAAATAGTACGTATAACAACATCCGAAGCAGCTCTCATTCTGTGTAATGGAAACTGTTCAGATTGGCCTAATTCATGTGCAAAAACTTTTATTCCCTTTAAATATTTAGTTCATAACTGAATGTAGTTTTTTTTCATGTTGTTCATGTTAGATGTTTTTATTTAAGGTATTGTAAAATAAAGCTTATTGTAGCGTCTGGACCAATCAGACACACCATTTGTCATTTGATTTAACAAATCAATTATTCATTAGATTAACAAACATTCACAGACCACTGGATGTCATGATATTTTTATGATTCTTAATTTTTTGTTGATTATTTTATTACAGTTTCTATCATCCATTGAATCAACAACTAAAAAAATAGATTGTGAAAACAATAAAAAATAATGATAGTAATGAAAATAATGATAAAATGAAATATTTATTTCATAACATTCTATATATACATAAAAATAATTAATTGAAAAATAATGAATATATATTGTCTGTGCGAACAATGTCAAGCCCTAGCTGCAATCAACACTTGTAACGAAAGTGATGAAATTAATTATGAAAAATGGCTATGTTCATAACACTGAACATAGACATACGGTAGACAATTTATTAATCGTGACATTATTTCATCCCTTTTCTAAAATGTGGCTGAGTCTTGAAAATTTAAGGGAGCCAGATCAGTTACTGAATGCAACTGTTACTCTGGTTTATAACTGTACTGTGTGTGAATGCAAAGGTGGTTAACTGTAAAACTGGAATGACCACAGTATTCTGCTGCTGTATGAACATGAACAGCCCCAATGGGAGTAAACAGCCTGATTTTGCACCCATGGGTTAAGATGGATGCAGTGGGCTTGAATGGCAGTGTGATCACTCCATGCACACTCACTCATTGAGGCTAGTGCCCCTCCTCATTTGGGATAAGGATCGCCCTGACAGGCTCCCTTCCCTCTGCCAGTGCTGACTTCTCACGAGGGGGAAAACACATACAGAGCACAGACACAGTTACAGAAAGAGGGAGGGAGAAAAAGAGAGTGGTAGGATCAAAAAGCAAAAGAGGGACAAGGTGCAACATACAACAAAGCTCCAAAATCTACCTTTAATGTGTCATAGTCAAAATCATAGCAAAATGCGAATACACTCAGAAAACAGGAAGTACTTACTCTTTCTGACTATAGCTTTTTTCAGAATGCCTCTGCCCTGAATAAGGCTTATCTGCTGAAGACAAACCACTGTTTTCACGTGCAGCATTAAGAGATAACAGTGAAAAGTAGAAGATTACAGGTCAGAAAAATAAAAGCACTTTTCTGTATTTTATCTTAGAGCAGTTATTTAAGGCCTTTATTTATAACTATGACTTAAGGGTGGATGCCTGTCATATTTAAACAGTAAAAAATGAACAGTTATGTGCTTCAAAAACATGAAGAGCCCAGATCTATGCTTCTGAAATTACAATCAAAGGTGCCAGCGGTTTAGATGATTTCATTTTTATTTGCTTTTTTAGTCTCAGTAGAACATGTGGGAACTGAAACGGTCCTTTTTCAAAGCTCTGAATGGAAATCTGCTGCCACAATGAAAGTCAAACTAGGACTGTGATAAATGTGCTAAAACTCTCATTTTTATTTTCATTTATATATATATATATAGTATTTACAAATTGCTTTTCTTTATCCCTTTGCTAAATGATTTTCTTTCTGCATTTAAATGAAAAAAAAAACATGTCATTAAACAATTCACACTTGGGAATATTTGTATAAATGTAAATTTTTGTAGTATTTTATTGTTGCATTTAACTAACATTTTAAACATGAATTAAATAAACACTGTCACTGTTATTTGCGATTTAGGCAGTGATTTATATATTTACACTTCTGTGTTTTTTTTTATTAAACAATTCTTTTAATTTTTTTCTATTCATTTATTACTTCATTTTATTTTAAGTGACATTCCTAGTCCTCGATACCAACAGTTTGTCACTTGTGTCAAAAAAATGACTTCCTGTTACATTTTCAGTGTTAACGGTCCACAAGAGAAACCATATTTGATGATTTCTTACCAGCCATAGGTCTTCTGAGGTTTAGGAAGAGGATCATCAAAGAACGAGTCTCCTTCATCCTCATCCTCCAGGCCAAACTCCAGTGCTCTCCTCAGTGGGGTGGGAAGGTTTTTCCCATCACCCAATTCCTCCTCTGTCCCTTCAGACACTTGAACAGACCCTCTGTTCTTCTGAGACCCCAGTGGTTCACCAGGTCTTCTGTCTCCGGCCTATGGGAAAGTCACAATATTATCAACATACTCTAATACCATCACAAGGCCACAAGTGACATATTTCATCTGATGCAATCAACATGAACAATAAGCATAATCTGTTATGTTCATGTAAACTGACTGCATGTACGATTCAGCTTGGAACCAACAGCTGCCCATTTTAGATGAACTGTTATGTGTACGAAAGTGAGGTGCCATAATGAACAAGAACATACTACAAATCAAAGAAAAATAAGTTCCCTTTGGCCCAAGTGGTTTTAAAACATGACATTCTCAAGTAAAATTTATCTGGGAATTCCTTCGTAGATGGTTAAAAGATTAAAAGCAAAGAACATCTGACATAAGTTACAAGAACAGTAGGTTGTTAAAAAGCCCATTTTGAAACTGGCCCACGTTCAGAAAAATGCTGCGTCATTCAACCCACTCACAAATCGATCTATTACTTACAGGACGATTTTCAAAAGAAAGGTTTTACTTGAGATGAAATGTTTCAGAAGTAGTATATATATCTATCCAAAAACAAGAGGTTAGATGATACATGCTGAATCTAGTTGATAAAAAGGTGTTAGTAAGTGTTAATTCATTTATTTTCACAAAAGTACTGGGTGATTAGCAGAAGCCTGGTCAGTATCTTTGCTCTAAATCTTTTTTGAAAAGACTGATCTCATCTGTATTGTGTATTAGCTTAAATCTGCTCTGCAATAGCCAGTTTACTATATCAAGTGCTAAAATGGTTCCAATTCAACCATGGGCTACGTTTAGCACCGTTACACATACAAGCGCTTTTTGCATCCCAGGAATTTTGTCTTGGGACATGAACTTCCACTTGCACATGTGATAACAGTAATGGGAAGGAGCACAAACCTAATAACAGCCAAATGTGTATAGACACCACCCATTTATGAATCATTTACGAGATATAAAGGAAGCCACATGGTTGAGCTGATCAAAAGCTCCTGTATCAGAGCCGACGCACGTGTGCTTTACCTTTGGGTCAGCCTTTTCTTCCTGCGCTGAACTGTGCTTAACAAATCCTTGATACCTGGGTATCTGAGCACCAGAATACAGCCATCAGCTTCCCTTTTACAACAATGACACGCTACCCTCACTAAATCGTACACGGATATGGATGGAGTGAACAAAATGAAAACATATGCAAAACAACGTAGGGAGGAACTGTTATAGTAATACAAACACACAAAAACAACTACTGCATGCAACAAAAATGCACGCAAAATTTAGTGATCTGATACATGGAGTAATGTCTATTCAAAGAACTTTCATACAGATTTGGACAATTTTAATCAAAATTGTCTGTTTGACCTTCCTAATGGTATATTATGTAGAAAACAAATATGATGAATAAATGTAATTTAATGTAATTTTGAGAAACATGGGAAGATGGAATTACTATAAGAATGAATTGTTTTGTTCATCGAGGGCCATAATAAACAAAATTTGAATTCTTAAAAAAAGAAAATGTACATATAAGCATATTCATCTAAAATAATCATTTGGTTGTATGAAAATTCCCATAAATTTTAAATTATTATATGTTTGAAATTCCCAATGGTATGGTATGTGGAATAAATATAGTGAATGACTGTCAAATAATTCATAAATATATTTCTTATAAATGAATGATGATCTGTTCTTATAAATTTTATGAAGGCATAGGTATGTGCATAATATAAGCAGCTAAATTTAAAACAATCATTTTGTTCTGGGACAATACATTCTGTGCAGGTCATAGGAACCTACTGCCTACACTTTGGTAAAACCCCTTCCCCATTTGTGAGTCAAACTACAATGACTACATGAAATTACTACTGTGTATCATCCACCATCTAAGATATAACCCACGATATAAGATATGCAGATAAATCAAACGCAGGAAACACACCTACCCAAAACTACACCACATATCTTCTATTCATAAAAACTAATGATGCTCTGGTGGTCAATTTAAGGAGCTGGATGAAATGAAATTAGAACGGATGAAAATTGTGCATGCTATAAAACATACATTTTTAGTAACATAATGCAAGTTTTGCATGTAAACAGGCCAACAAAAGCCAGCTGTGGCTTTGTGGTTTAAATTTTTTTTTTTACATATACAGATAGATGAAATATAGACTATTAGACATGACAAAAAGTAACTCATATCTGATATACAAAAAATGATCAGAGATTATAATCTTGACAGAAGGTGAGAGGAAAGTGTGTGTGTGAAAGAAAGATAAGCAGAGACAGAGAAACAAACAAAGAAAGACAGGAAGTCAGTTTACCTTGCTGGCGGAAGACGAAATGATTTTATCTTCAGTAGTTTTACTTGAAGAGTAAAGTGCATCGCTACTGTCACTGGTAACCTGTAAACGATATTACAGGCCTCATTACTGAAATCACAAAAAGGGAGTGCTAAAAGAAATCAGAATGTGTTCAAGGTTGCTCACCACACTTCGACACTGAGTGAAAAAGCATTTGTACATTCCCAGGAAGTCTTGAAAGTCTACAGCTACGTAAAGTTAAGAAAGAATGAAAAAGAAGTGGAAGACAAAATTTTATTAGCAACTACTGCAGTTTATTTGTCAATGAATGACAAGTTTACCAGACATACAATTTGCATCCCTAAAATGATTGAAAACTAAACAAGATCACAGAGACTTACTACTGCGTGTGTCCTTGCCTTTGGCTCTAAATTCCTCAGTGACGTAACTGTCCAGCATGTTTCTTTTTATTTGCAGATAAAAAACAAACATATTAATGAAATATGTGGCCATTCACAGTAACTGCAACCAAAATGGCTAAAGCTACAGTGCATTAAGCACAATCAACTGATCTTTAAAAATGATCTTTGGTTAGGAGACCTTTATTCTGGTTTGTGTGCAGAAATACACACTGTTCCCAAGTCATGAGAAAGACCATGACCACAGCGTCATGAACCTCAACCAGACATGATTATAGAAGAGCAAACCAACAATGTGGGAAGATGTAAACACTTTCAGTCATTACATAAATGAGGGTTTCGTTACCAGTAAATTCAGACATTTCCTAGAGTTCGTGGCATTCAAAGTCCACAATGCTGAAACAAACCTGCTGAACTGGGGAAAAAGATCAGCGAAAATGCCAATAACGGCTTCTCTGTTGATCTCACCACTTCTGTTCTGTAAAGTCAAATCAAAAGATATAAATTAGTCAAAGGTTTTTTTATATTTAACTAATCGTTTGGTTATTAATTACCAATTTATTATTATATAATAATTCTAATGATTTATGACCAAAATAATAATACAATTAATAAGTATAAGAAAATAACTAATGAATATTAATTTCAAAATAGCAGTATTTTAATATTTACAATTATATATTATATGGTATATTGCATTAATTATTATTTAATCAATAATAAAAAAGAAATAATAAAAAAAGTTACCTTGTCATGACTGTCAAATTTTTTGCGGGCATCAGCAATTTGACGGGGCAACAATTCCTAAAAACCATTCACAAACATTACTACAATCATTGCAGATTACGCTCAAAATAAAATCATTATATAAGTCCTTTATTATTTAAAATTCCTTGATTAATTTAATATTTATTTTTTTAAATACAAAATTGTCATATAAATCACATGTTTGAGACACGTGTGCTCAGCTTGTGCACTTACAAACAAGACAGGATATCACAATGTTCAACTATGAAACTTCAGCATTTGAAGTCTCATCTGACATGACAGCAGTCATGCAGCGCTACGGGCTTGATTAAACAAATGCACGTAAGGTGCCCACAAAACAAGACAAAATGTCTAGAAGTAGGACAAGCTTGTTTTGCACAAGTATCTTAACAGGAAAACCTTTTTTGCAGCACCACTTAAAGATGTTCATTTACATCATCCTTCCCTTGTGTGACCTGAATAATTCGCCTGGGGTTTGTGATGTGTGGGTAAACTGGTGATACGAATCAACCCGAGATGTGCTCTCCAACCACAAGTGAAATAAGTGGGTTAGCACTATTACTAGTCTGTGACTGGAGCTGTTCCTGAGAGTGCATCAACCCCACCTGTGCTTACTGTACGTGTGGGTGCAAAATCAGGTTACAGAGATATCTAGACAGATAACATGGACTGGGCCTGAGCCAGCCAGCGGTGGTGGTAAAGTACCTTGGGAAAAGTTCTCTCAATCAACCGATCTCCCTGAGAAAAGAAAGACAAGAGTCATACTATCTGAAAGACACGAATTCATTTGATGCAGAACATCAAAGATCACCTCTGTGAAAACGGAGGTCTTGTCCTTATGCCGGCTCCTCTTCACCAACTCTAGCAGGAGAGGGGTGTTTTTATTCACCTCTGTTTCTGATATACCAAGCTCTTTAGACAGAGTTTCACGACTGTCAAGCCCATTGAGCTGAATAACACATAGTAGGGTACGTTAGTTCAGATGAAAGAGATTTGAGGTCACAGAGGACATAGCATTGCAAGCACATTCAAATCAATCAATCAATCAATCAAAAAACATTTACAGGAATTTCTGAATGACAGCTTCAAACTGTGTATCACTTACAGCGTTGTATATTATATAACACTGACTGACATACCGTACTAATTTCAGGTTGAAACACAGCTAGGGTGAAGTCTAAATTAAAGACTTGCAGGAAGTCAGTTACAAGACCTGCGACCAAGCGACCTGCAAGAAGAGCAAGACATGCTGAAAATGCATAATTTCCCAAAGCAAACATTTACAAATGCAAGCAAAACATCAGATAAAAAAAAAAATTTAAATTCACAGAAAATCATGTAGTGTATGATAGGCACAGATTTTTTACGATTCCATCCATTCAGAGAATATTTAACATGTTTCATATTTTGAGTTGATTTTAGAACACATATTGTAATTTCTCATGCACCTCCTAGCAAAGAGTCATTTAGTGTACGATGTCCAGTTTTTCTCTATAACCATTTACAAGTTTGCAATTGTATGATGCCTAGTGTTTTCAAAACTTTCCAGATTTTAAAAAGCGTGTAGTGTATTACAACCCAAGTCATCATCACATCAAAACAAGACAGAAAAAACTAACAACGAAAGGCCTTTTTATGGAATTCATACTTACCATCCTTTGTGTTGAGGGACTTTTTGAGGTTTTCATTCACAAGAGGTGTTTTATTCTATTCAAAAGAGTTGACATCTAGATGACACACTGAATCTTGCACAAGTAAAATAATGCTCATGCAAAAACATACAGTTAACATAACAGCATTTAATCAGCAAAATATACAATTCATGATGAATTGTTTAAAAAATACATTAAAACTATTTATAATTACCTCAACTTTGTCCTGCTCTTCTAGGGCAAGAAAAACAGCCGCACGTAGCTCTGCCTGTAACCCCAAAAAAAGAGACCTATCATCACTTCATTTATCCTTTATTCAGTCATATTTATAACAGTACAGCACCAAACAGACTCATACAGTGGACCAGAACAGCTCAAACCACAGATATGTAACTGAAACTGCAGAGTCAACGGAGAAACACTTTTATGTACAAATAGGCCTACGGCATATGATCAATGGCAATGATCATATTACAGGTTAAACCAGATTACTTCTGGCCTGATCATTTTAGATGACTTCCTTAATACCTGTGAGTTCAACACCTTACCAAAATAAAATAAACCAACACCTGCTAACTAGAAAACATGCTTTGCTTTAATACAGCCAAGATAAACAATAACACTGTAGGTCTCATCTTTAGTGGTATGAGGAAAAACAGGTTTTATAAGAGAGCAGTGTCATAACTCAATGTTGTCACACCAGTGGCTGTTGTCCATTTGCTGCCCATAACAACTTTAGCATCACTATGCTATGCTAACAAACATTGCGCTTAGAATATAAAATATGTCCCATATGAGACAGAGATTACTCCAGCCTCATAAAGACTTAAAAATAGTTTCGAACCAGACAGGAAAATACCTTAATTTTATTCAAAACACCGCTGTTTTCCAAGTTTTGGATCAGTAGATCTCTGAGTTCCGTGTCCTCCTCCGTCGCAGACATCTTCAGTTCGTGTCATGTGACTATAGGCTGGAAACCTGCGCACCCTGGCGGCTGTCCACGGCATTACACATGGGTTCATTATGGAGGTACTGTATGCTTGTGAAGTTGTGCTACTACACATTAGTTCAAACAACCGGCGGTTCAAGATTTGTCTGCTCTGTCTGATTCGGCAGTTAGCCCCTCTTGCCATTAGGTCAAATGGGAATCCTAACAGATAGCTCTCTGCAGGTAGACCTATTAGACCTGGAGCTCCCCTTAGCTCATGAATATTAAAAAGGTCATTGTCAAGATGCTTGATGATTGTCCTGCGGGGTCTCGATACGCTCTCGAATTAATATTCATGAGTCAAGCCTTCAACGTAGTTATAATTTACTTCTAAGTAGAAGTAACTGTAGTTAGTTTTAATTGTTCGTGTCAAACGTTTTCAGTGACTACTTCCATTTTTTCTCCATGACAAAAAAATCAACAAATTGACTTAAAAAGATCTGTATTTCTGAAAAAGCACAAAAACATAAAATACAAAGTATGCCTTTGTATTTTACTATATAACTATAACTAAAAGAGGGCAAAATTATACAGTATATTTGGGTCATTCCTGTTATGTAGTAGGTCCTACCATCTACTCTCCTATATACATGCCAATGCTGTAATTTTTAATTTCTATTTCTATACAATTTCTATTAAGGGTATGCCATATCAATGACTATTAATTATAGCTAGACTACATAGCTACACAATGGTAAGAGAATTAACAAGATATCTAACTGGTTTAGTAGGTTATCATCATAATTGTAAAGCATTTGAGTATTCTGACAAAATAAACACATTTCCAAGCATCATAAAAATCTTTAGTATTTCATTATTTTATTGTAGATGTACATATCATTTCTGCAGGGCTATTTTGTAATGGACTGTAATGTCTAATTTTTCTATCTCTGCTGCCTTTGTCGCATGATCAGTCACATGACATGAACGCCCATAAGCAAAGATGATAGCCTCCAGGTCACATACTTCCAGGCAACTGCCACTGAGATGAATGCATATATTTTTTTTTACTCCAGGTATCATATAGACCTCCTTGATGCAAATCAGATAATGATGTAACATAATAATAAAAAAAAGTAACTGCGAACATATGTTGAATAAAAGGGACATGTAATGTGGCAACACAAGTTTTATTGAGTAAGAGATGTCAACACCAGCATGATAAAAATTGTACAAATTTCACATTTTCAAAATGAAATATCACTGCAACTTGTGATCTTAAACACTTAGAGCAAAAAAAGTGTCATACCAACAGAAATCATGCCATGTGGTTGAAAAATAAAACTAGAGAGAAAAAGATAGCTAAAGAGCTGGATAGAGGAAGAGAGCAAGAGACATTAAGAAAGCTATGCTTCTTTCTTTATTTTTTAATAGAAAAATCCTGGTTTAAAATGGTTAATTAAAATCCATTTGAAATGGAAACTTGTAACCTGATGATTTCACAATTATTAATAAGAAAAGTATTCTGCATTCAAGCATGTGACACCATAGATAGAGTTTTCTAGTTAAATAGTCACAGATAACCTTTTGAAGTAGATAGTACAATATGTGCCAACTGAAAATGAGCAGCGGAATTGTGCTTAAAATCCCCTTTCCTGTCAAATCAGTTATGATAGTGAATGAGAGGATATTGTATTTTGCTATCAGTGTGTTAAAAGCGTTTCTATCTTGGAAATAAGCTGCATACAGAAAGCTTTCGGAGAGAGAAATGTGCTGTGGTTGGGGAAGAGATGTCTGGATATTACAGAACGATAAATAAGAGTGACTAGCACCATTTGCATGAGCTTTCGGAAAACATAATGCTAGCCGTAATAATAATACAAAATCATAGATTTCTGAAGCAAAGCCCCACGTAGAGCATCACAGCAACAACCAGAGTCATTTCACACTAAAAATCACCGTGACAGTTTCGACTCATGCTCGATAAATACAAACTTTAAAATCCACCACTGAAAATCAGCCCTATTTGTGACTTTGCTTGATGCTTTGAATGGGCTTTGACTAAATAAAGATGAAAGGGGGGTTCCCAGACTGTACATGTTCTTAAGATATTATGGAGCAATATGAACTGGTCGTGTCAGTAAACCTCCCTCTGAACGACCGAAACTGCCCACGCGCAACTGTAATCTAGACCCGTGCCACGCCGTTTCATCGTCTAATTATCAAAAATGCTTCCTGCTTCAATTTCCATAATCTTAGAGCTTAAAGTGCCGCTGATTTCTCAGAAACGTAAAAAATGAGCGATGAAAGTGAATCGCAGGTTACCACAGAAGGCAAGCTGACCTCTCTTAATACTGTATAATTGATTGGAGTTCACTAATTGTAATATGATGAGCTTGCATTGCTGATATAGTCGTATTTGTTGTGCACTTGTGACCAGATGAATCTCTACATGATTGTTTGGACAAAATCTACAAGACAAGTGCTCCATTACTATGACACAATGTCGTATGGGCGGTGACATTAACCCTGTATATCCAGCACACTGATAAACTACCATTCACACAGATTTACTTCCTTCAAAAGAAAAAAACTTCCCACAATTCAAACGTCTGGGCACCTCCTTGGTCTCCCAAAACAAATAAAAACACCAAAACATGGAAACAAAGGTGTCCCTGTGCAAAATCGAACATGAGAAATGTGAAATCATAATGCATTCATCCTTTTGGACTTGATCACCCATGTTTAAACCCTAAAACATGACTGTATTAAAAGATTTATATAAAACTTAATACTTTACATTTAGTAAAAAGATTCATCAGCTTTCTACTATGGTAAGAATAAGAAATTGCATATACCCAAACTTTTGCATCCCATATCTAAATAAATGATTGATTGGTTATCATATATTGCTGATATTCTATCATACTACCACTAACATTTTACGATCATTAAATTAAGAATTAATGTTGGATTGTCTCCTTGAAATTTTCTGTAGTTATTGGCCTCAACCAGCATTACATTTAGAGAATGGACTTTGAAAACATTTGAAAAGTTATGAAATACTTCTTGGGATTTACACCAGGGGGGGACCGTGTCATGATGTTTGCCACAATTCAAACGTCTGGGCACCTCCTTGGTCTCCTGAAACAAATAAAAACACCAAAACATGGAAACAAAGGTGTCCCTGTGCAAAATCGAACATGAGAAATGTGAAATCATAATGCATTCATCCTTTTGGACTTGATCACCCATGTTTAAACCCTAAAACATGACTGTATTAAAAGATTTATATAAAACTTAATACTTTACATTTAGTAAAAAGATTCATCAGCTTTCTACTATGGTAAGAATAAGAAATTGCATATACCCAAACTTTTGCATCCCATATCTAAATAAATGATTGATTCGTTATCATATATTGCTGATATTCTATCATACTACCACTAACATTTTACGATCATTAAATTAAGAATTAATGTTGGATTGTCTCCTTGAAATTTTCTGTAGTTATTGGCCTCAACCAGCATTACATTTAGAGAATGGACTTTGAAAACATTTGAAAAGTTATGAAATACTTCTTGGGATTTACACCAGTGAGTTTCCGTGTCATGATGTTTGCATTCACAATTTTTGTTTCTATTTTTCCATCTATTTCGGGAATTAAAACGAGAAAAAAAGAAGAAAAAAAAAAACAAACAAGCAAAAATAAAAACAATACACATACTGCATTAGAGTGCCCACACTGACCACTATAAATATGATTTGGAACCAAAAGACAACGTTTCTCAATATTTTTACAAAATGTACCCAAAATCGAACCACAAAAATGTACCACTGTACACCCATTGAACAGCCTGCACAGCACATTAGTTCCCATTAGCTCCATAAAGAGAAGCTCAGATTGAAGCTGATTGCCCTTACATTCCCTCAATGTATCCCCTCTGCACCTCTTTAGATTTAAAATAATGGATGGTTTTTGTTTACAATTAATAAATACATATACACTAAAATGTGCATACATTAGCAGCTATAAACAGTACATCACATTATGTCAGGTCATATGAAAAATGTACAAAACATGAATGGTCCTCCAAACATTTGCCATCGGTAGTCGTCATCTTAAAGCAAGGCAACAAATAAGTTATGTAATTTTTTGTCAAAAGCATAACAGAATCATAAATAATGCCAAATAATACAATAAATTACAGCAGCAAAAAAATCATACTCGTTATCCATACTTTTTACATGATGGGTTTCTTTTGTTTCTTAACGCTCTGATCACATGACCCCGTTACAGTCGCAAAGCTACACTTGGATGCCTTGAACCGCTTGCTTTATGTTCTCCAAGAGGGCCTTGTTCTCCGGGCTCTGGTACTGGTCCTGGTGAGTGTACATATCTGTCAAAGTGCTCACATAAGTGTCAAAGTTTTGCTCGTTCATCGGCTCCTGTGGAACAGATCGGGATCATTGGAGATCGAAGAAACACATCAAGTGTAATATGTTCAATCAAACACACAATCAAAGCTTAAGACAGAAAGGGAAGGGGAAACAGGATATATTTAGGGAGGAATGATCCCACAAAACTGCCTTTAAAGCTAAATAAAAGCTAGGGTTTTAGAGAAAATACATCTCTTGAAATGCAGGGCTTGACCAATCACATTAAAATGGTCACTAAATCAAGCGTAAGACTACCATACTGTTTCTAAAAATATATATCTGATGGATAACAAAAAAATTTATGCACATACATTATGTATGCATGCACTGGTGTGAGTTTCATGCTCGTGAGTATGTAGGTAATACTGGCATTCACAAGTGATATCAAACAGATCGGCGTGAATAGCAGACAGATATCGATGAGCATCACTGTGCCTGATAAAATAATGTGTTTTACGATAATAACATGAGTTTACTACCAAAAATAAATATGGCTCATATTGCAACCCCAGCTTTCTTATCGCTATTCCCTGAAGTGGATTATGTCAATATGTGTGGCACTGATACACTCTATGGACCTTCGTGATGCATACACATCGTACTGTGTGTTACAAAAGGGGGAGGACTAGGGGGGAGGAAAATGATAGTGAGGAGAAGGATAAAGTTAGACTATGGAAAATGAATCTCTTACTCTTTGGGGCATCTGTAAACAGCAGTAATTTTTAACAGGGGCCTCTTTCAGTGGCATCGGTTTCTACAGAAGGGAGAGGTGTAGAGAAAAGACTATTAGCCTGGCTAAAAGCCAGAGGTCAGTGGTCTCAATAAAGCTGACATATTTGACTTTACAACCAAGTTATGCTTGAGCGGCATGACACATGAACAGGCAACAGTTGTCTGATGTTAGTGCAGCTTGAGGACCCCTCGTGCGCACTCTAAATAGCATCCATCGACAGTGGGGGTGGAGAATTCAGGAGCCATATTCAAGACGACGTGTTTCAGTTGTTTACTAACATGGCCGCCACATTCAAACGGGGCTTGTCCAATCGTGCCCTGGCTCAATGTGTATGTGATTCGATTGTGTGGGAGAATCTGATCCACAGCGGCCATGTTGTTACTCAACTGAAAAGCAGTTGTTTTTCTACAATCGGTAAAGGGGAGTGACCTCAGCACAGAAGCATATGGAACTGCGAGGAACTCAACAACAGACATAAAGAAGCAGATGGGAGAAACAATAGAAACCGGATTTTCGTCCCTACTGATAGCGTCTGAAATGCAGACTCAGGCCCTGGCTTTCAACAAGAGGCAGTCTATTCTAAGCCGATAAACATGTATTGTGCTGTAGGTGATATATTAACAAATGCAATTACTATTTTGAATTAATTCGGATTTTTACGATTGTAAGTAACTATGAAACATTTTTATCCTGACTTTTGTACTACTCTCTTACACTCTTAAAAATAAAGGTTCTATATCTGCATTAATGGCTCCATGAAGAACCTTTAAAGTCCATTGAACCTTTCCGTTCCACGAAAGGTTCTTTATTATGGAAAAAGGTTCTTCAGACTATTAAAATATTATAGAAAAAAGAACTGTTCACTGAAAGGTTCTTTAGGGAACCCAAAATGGTTCTTCTATGGCACAAGTGTTTTGGAAGCTTTATTTTTAAGAGTGCATGTGAGGCCTCATGTCTGTTGGCTCTTACCATGTGTGGAAGCTGGATGTTGGCAAGACTGTTGATGAGGGACTGGCTGAGGTTGGCGAGCTCATGCAGCAGCGAGTCGTTCTGCTGCTCTATGGCCTTGTTTTCCTCCTCGATGGACTTCAGGTTAGTCTCCATGGTGGTGATCTGGGAGGAGGGAGAATGAGAGACAAATGCATCTCTGTGACTGAACACATGGCCAAAGCCTTATGTGATAGATGGCAACTGCTCTTACTTGAGTCCTTAATTTTATCATGTCTGACTCTACTTGATTGTTCGATTCGTTCAGGTCTTTGATTTCCTCATCCAGTTGTTTAATCTCCTCATCATTTTCTATGCCTGGAAGGGAACATTGGGAAATTCACTGTAAAAAATGCCACTGATGGCAAGTAAAATGAATGTAATTTCTTTAGTAATTTATATAATAAAAAATGACATGCCTTTACTTGCTCTCTGCTTGATTGTGAGCATTTCAACCCCGGTCATCCTTGCCTTCTTCATAGCAGATGTGGCACGGGGACAACCGGACAGACTACCGATGTACAAAAAAATAAAACAAATAATAATCATTTTTACATTGATTATTTTACTCTCCAATTTAAACATTCTGCTAATGAAAAAATGTACATATTTTTTCAAGGTTAAGAACATAATTGTGCATTCTTTCATTTAGTTTATTGACTTAAATTGATTTACTTTGGAAATGAAATCCTTTCCTCTGGCTTTGAGAATGTATGTATAAAATATGTCTGCTGCATTAAAACATTGACTGATTCACATATGTTTATTGCTTCAAAGTATTTAAAAGTGCAAACTAATCTGCATCTTTGTCTTGTTTTGAGGTAAAATATCTAAACACCCTAAAACAACATTTACCAGGACAATTTTATGATAATAAAATGTTTTAGAGAATATATCTTGAATATTATTTTTCTTACTCTACTGGCTAATTGTTTTTATTGTTTTAACCATAAACTTAAAAAACCCTCAACCTTAAAAAGGTTAACACTTTTATTTTTTATTATTATTTTTTTTATTAAAATAAGAAGAAAAAATGCCATTCGGGTACAAAAAAAAATATTATTTGTCTGAATATCCACTGTAATATTATTAATAAATTATGTTATTTAAATACTATTACAGTATTTATTAACATTTCAAATGTAGCTTTATTTTCATATTTTAAAGTTGTATTAATTTTGTCATTTTGTTTACCCTTTTTAAGTATTTGATTATTTTAAACTTATTTATTTCAGTTAGCTGCCAAAGCAACATATCTAGTTTTCATTCAAGTTTTTATTTTCTAATATTTATATTTTGTTTATTTATTTCAATTAATGAAAGCAATTTTTAAAAATAGTTTTGATTTTAGTTAACAATAACAACACTATTAATAATTCTAATTCTCAATTAAATATATCATGTTTTAAGAATGTTGTGATATTTTTATTAAAATACTGATTAAGAAAATGATTTCTTGCTATATAGTGGCCTAGCTAAGAAATGCTCACACACGCGCTCATGTACCTCCGGTGGGTGAGAAAGCTGCCACTGACGTGGCCTGAGCCATCGCAGCCTGGGGTGGGGCAGGTCATGCCGTCTGTCTTGCCAGACTTCCAGGAGAAAGGCGCTCCGTTCACATAACCGTCTTTCTGACGCTTGGCGGCCAGCGGGCAGCCGGATGCACTGCGGTGGGATGCATACTTCCCTGTCACATGACCCTGGCCATCACAGCCTGGCACAGGACACCTAAAGACATTGGGCACAGCAGAGACGAGTTCACACACATAAGCACACACACATAGTAAAGTTCCTTCTGGGGGAAGTTGTGGCCTAATGGTTAGAGAGTCGGACTCTTAACCCAAAGGTTGCGGGTTCGAGTCTCGTACCGGCAAGGATTGTAGGTGGGGGGAGTGAACGTACAGCGCTCTCTCCCACCTTCAATACCATGACTGAGGTGCCCTTGAGCAAGGCGCGCTTTCTTCCACCTTCAATACCACGACTGAGGTGTCCTTGAGCAAGGCACCGAACCCCCAACTGCTCCCCGGGTGCCACAGCAAAAAATGGCTGCCCACTGCTCCGGGTGTGTGTTCACGGTGTGTGTGTGTTCACTGCTGTGTGTGCACTTTGGATGGGATAAATGCAGAGCACTAATTCCGAGTATGGGTCACCATACTTGGCCACATGTCACTTCACTTTCAATTGTCCTCAGTAACTGGCCGATTTTAACCTTAGTTAAACCTTAGTAACCTTAGTCCTCCTGTAAGTTACAACAAGCAAAATTCAACTTTCAGTTACTTTGGATAGTTGAAGGAATTTAAAAAATGCACCTGATTGGCTCCTGGTCATCCTTGTCCTCCTTACTGTGCATTATTTTAATACCACTCTTCTTTGCCCGGGGACAACCTGACAGACTTCAGAGCAAGAAACACATTTACCAAAAAATGCCAAGGGCTTCTCATTGCACTTCTTTGAATCTACGGGTGGCCAAAACATTACGTGAAGTATTAAATCAAATTTTTAATGCGCATATTTGTGAGTCTTCACCTTCTGTGTGAGGCGTAGTTGCCTGTGATATGCCCAGAGCCATCACAGCCAGGAGTGGGACACCTGCAAGCAATGAAAACATGAAACAGATTAGCGTAACCTCAGACAGACCTCATTTTGAGGGTCAACTGAGGTGCCTGCCGAGTAAACACGAGAGCGCGAGGGCTTACTTCAGATCCTGGGAGTTAGATGTCATCATATCACGCATGCCCTTGTCAGCCAGTTGGCAGCTTGATAGCCTTAAGAGAGGATTTTAGAAGCATGAGGCATGGTTTACTAGAACAGTTGCATTAATAAAGCTACTAAGGTGCACTCAGGGTCACTTTTATCATTAAAACGTTTTATATGCAAATAAATGAACTGTACTTTCAAAACAATAAGTTTAAACTTATTAAAGTTTACACTTTTAATAGTAGCCTAAAAAAGCTGTTTTATTATACATGGATGCTAAGATCATATGACCAGCCCAATAATACTGACTTCAGCATTATTAATTGAATTAATTGAATTGAATTGAATTAATTTATAATGGCTGCCTGCCAATAGTGCATTTTTACAAATGCCATACATTAAGAAAAGCTTTTGCTTATATAGTAAGCCCAGAATGATATGCAGCACAATTTAAATAAAAAATTACAGAGTGCACATTTAACTTTAATAATAGTTTTATATATTAAAAAAAAGTTTTTTTTAATCATTGTCAATACTGAAAATAGTTTATATTAATATTTTATGGGAACATTTTTTTCAGGATTCTTTGATGAATAAAAAAAAAACATTGTAAAAAAACTTTTGTAATATTGTCTTTTGATCAATTTAATGCATCCTAGCTTAATTATTAATTTCTTATATCAATGGACACACAGTAATAATAACAAAATCATGCTACAAGGTCAACAACAGGAGATAGTCCCGATCCAGTGCAGATGCTTACGTGAGGAGCTCCTTCTTGCTCTCCTTGCAGGGAGCATATTTGTGTTTGGGACTGGGGAGGGACACGTCTCCTGAATACTGCTGCTCTTCCAATAGATCCTGAAATGGGTCCAGGTCATCCTGAAAATGAGGATGGAGAAAGAAAAAGAAAGATTTCAGTGTATGTTATGATGCAGTATAAAACAGAACAATGGCCTGCTAGTACTGTAATTACATAATATACAGCGTTCACATTTAAAAGAATACCATGTTATTATAACACTGAGCACAAAATCTCATACAGCCTCATTTGCATTCTTTCCAGTTCCCCAACAATTTAGCAAAAACATCAATTCCCCTTTGAAATAATAATAACAACAGTTTAAGTCTGGTGGTTCATTAATGAGTAATTAATTAACAGAGGAAAAATCCGTTTTCAAGCAATAATCGCCAGTGAAGTGAAGGCATGCCGTAACAGCACTCTACACTAGATGTCCTTTCAGTCCTTCAAAAGGAACAGCCTACCGTTCTTCAAATAACTACAATAGCTTCCCCAACCAGTTTACTGTTTAAGGTTTACACAAGGACAAGCAACGGTTTAGAAATGACTCAATTGTGCTCCCATTAACATGTCACAGGCAAACAATTTTATATTATAAACAGGTCCTTTTGCTTAGCTACAGTGGAAAAGAAAAGCGGGAAGACTAAGCAGAAGCTTCTGCTGTGGTGGGCTGAACACGTAAGCAGTAAACGGTAATCTTAATATGACTAGCATTCATCTGCCAACTGTCTTTCAGATAACCAGTTAGCTGCTAACAAGAAAGCAAAATGCCTGGTGAAAGAAGATTAAACCAAAGAGAAAGCGGTTCTTAAGAATTTTTATAGTCACATTTGTCGAAAGTACTGTTTTATTACTGCTTTATATATTTTATGATAAATGCTAATTCGACTGACATTTTTGAAAAGTTTTGTAAAGGTGAAGTGTTTAATTTATTTCACTTTTACTACTGCTAACAGAAATAATGACTGCTTTCAAACAGGTTTCCTGAACACTTCTCCTCATCATGCTATTGGTTGGACAAACAGATAGTCCCTCTTCTTTGTTGCTGTGTCAGGATGCTCAAACACAAGCAATTTTCCCCAGCTAACAGGTAACGTTCCCAAGTTTGTTATCTGGTCTTTAATAACGTTCTCAAAACATTAGCACAAAAACATTATTTATTGATTGTTCATGCAACATTATTTCTAAACCAATTTAGCTTGATGTTCATTTAACAGTTTTTAAATGTTACTCTGCTTCAGAATGTTAAGAGAAAATTCAAATGTAAAGTTCCAATGATGTTTTCAAAATGATAAAATGGAATTTTCTAAATGATCACACTCTCCGGTGCAACAAATACAATGAGCCAAAAAGGTGGTAACTATCCTCTAAATTCATTTTATGTAAAGTGACACAAGTGCTCCAGTCTGTCTCTAGCCAGACTCAAGGGGTGTCGGGGTGGGGGGTACCTCCTTGTGGTCCTCGTCCAGGCGTTTGATCTTGGTGTAGTCCACAGGCAGGTCCCAGCAGTCTGCCGTGCTCATCTGGAAGCAGTGGCTGTTGAGCAGGGCCTGCCGCTGGGGCGACATGGGCTGCAGGGGGGTCAGCACTGTGCCTCCACTGCCCTCCCCCATCCCTCCAGCCCGGCTCAGATCCAGGGTTCCGTTCTCATCCCCATCTCTGTCATCAGGGCTCTGCCACGAAAGAGGAAGAGAGAGGAGAATTGATAAGAGAATAAAGAATAAAGAGAATAATTAAGAAGTAAAAAGGCTGAGATACAGAAGGGAAGGATGACCGATGAGGATGGGTACATGGTTCATATGCACAGTTAAAAAGATTTTTAAGCATGTAAAAAAACCTAATGTTTAAAAAAATTATTTTAATATATTATTACTATATTTAATTCATTTTTATTTATATTATATTATATTTAATTAATTAATTTAATTATTATATTTCATTTATTATTACTATTTAATTATTATTTTTTTATAAATTCTGGAAAAAAAATGTAATTGTATTTTTTGGTAACACATATTATTCACCATGAAATCAATATTGATAATTCTTATTGTTTGGAATATTGCAGTGTGTATTATAAATGATTTATCCATGCACATCATTTTTTTAATTTGCGTAATTTAACATATGTAATGATAGGGAAGAAAAATAATTGCAATTTCTGTTTCATGCATACTTACAACTTACAAAAACATAAGCAAGGGATCTTGAAGGAGAACAACATTAATTATGTGTTCAAATGCCTAGACTGAAACAGTAGTTTTGTGGTTCAGTCCCATTAGCCTTCTTTCCTCTTCCCTGCTTTAGGCATGAATAATTATTATAGTTGCATTGTTTGACTGCTTGCCAGCTTTATTTACACTGTTGTTGCTGATTTTGTTGTCACGTGTGATAATTAATGTCTGGTGATGTCAAGCTGTATTTGTACCTCTACTTAAAATGATTAGTTCGTTAGTTAGTTGTTTGCTACCCTTGTCACGTTTCATGTACTGTATAAAGTATTAAGGTCATGTGGCATATTATGAGACAGCAAGCACTTTGTTCTGTGTGTTCACTACCTTTTAGAAGAATCGGGTAGGTATGTTTTTTTTTTTTTTTTTTGAATGAATGAATGAATGAAAGGATGCATTAAATTGACCAGAAGCGGAAAAGATAATAAAAAGATTTTTATTTCAAATAAATGGTGTTCTTTTTAACCTTCTATTTATCAAAGAATCTTGAAAAAGCATATAATGGTTTTGACAACAACATTAAGCAGCATTGATGATAACAATAAATATTTCTTGAGCACCAAAATAGAAGGATTTCTGAACGATCATGTGACGCGCTGCAGAAAATTCAGCTTTGCTATCATAAGAATGAATCTCATTTTAAAATATACTGAAAAGAGAAGGTTATTTTAAATGTTTTATTAATGGTATATTACTATTTTTACTTTTTTATCTTTTACCTCAAAAAACATTTCAAGTGTTACTGACCCCTAACTTTTTAATCGTAGTGTACTTTTTATATAAAAAACATGAAATGCAGTGCATAACACTGAACAATATATTTGCATACAACTCCAAAAAAAAGTATTTCTAGACTTGCAATGATGGCAAATTTTGACAACCTTTTACGTTCAATTAATATATTTATAATTAGGTCGATGAATTTCTAAAACTCTACAACCACCTCAGTTTTTACAGTGTGGGAAAGGATGGGAGGAGAAAAGATCTGAAAGAAGAGAGTGTGAGCTTCTTCTTTGCACTGCCCTACATCTCCATGCACAGCTGCTTATTAGTGAATATATAGAGCCCTACAGCTCCTCACTACCTCTGTCCCTCTTTCTCTCTCTCTCTTATTCTCATCCCCACTCCCTCTAGCCTGCTGCCTCACTGTCCTTAAAGAGAGGTCATTGTCTTTCCTATGTACCCAGAGGGATGCTGTGAGAGCTGGCTTGGCCTGGACTACAGCTGAAATCGACATTAATTCTATTTGTCTCAGTGAGAGAGGGTAGGGGCACCACTACCCCAGCGTTCCTGCAGCTGCCAGCTTCCTCTGGTCTCCTCCAGCCCTGCGCTCTCATTATCACCAAACAGATTATGTCTGAAATCGATGTGTCACTAAAGCAACCGTGGCTCGTTCAGACCATTAGGCTCATATGATGACCCTGAGTCCAGCAGAGAGCTCTCAGAGGTGCTGTTGTCATTCACTGTTTGAAATCGCACCCTGTGCAAAAGAGCACGAAAACCCGGAGGAGATGACCAGGGGTTTGCCCCGAATGACTCTAAACTTGCATGCCCTCATTTCGGTGCACTACCATTACGTACTGGAAGGCAGTGCAGAGAAACTAAGAAATACCCAGTGAGAGAAAGCAAAATACAATATTAGCTGTACAAGTGGGTGAGGATGAGAGAGGATCTGGCAGGAAAAAGTTGTGGACCCTCACCTGTGCCAGGAGCTCCGGGCCTTTCCCGGTGAGGCTCTGGGGCATCTCTCTGCAGCGTGTGGGTCAGACGGCCACTATAACCTTGGATGGATGAATGGATGGTGGAATAGAAAGACAGACAGATAGAAAAATAGATAAATAGACAAAATGATAGAACAGATTGATGATAGAATGACAGACAGACAGACAGACAGACAGACAGATAGATAGATAGATAGATAGTCACAGACAGAAACATAGATACACACATACACACTTATTAGATGATCTGATGTTTCATGATGAATGCTGTGAGAAATTGAGTGTGAGAGAGAGAGAGTGGAGGAGAGGGGGAGAAATGGTTTAACAGTGTATCTAGGTTTCATGCAGAGGGCTACACATTGTTAACATGAAATCTAAAACCTGTATGGGAAGCATTTATACAGCATTTCTTTTTTATATAAATCCACATTCAAACCCTAGTTTGCATTCAGACACAACATCTGAGAAAACAAAGAAACCTAGTATTGACTAAGGAGCTGTTATTATCCTTCAATACTGGAAGGTGACAAATCAGCTGCTAAAATGCAGTTATAACCACTTATTCAAGATTTATACTACTCTCCCATTTGATCTTATTTTTCATCTAATTTTGCATTGAGACAAATAGCAAAACTGTCATTACAACTAAACTGGGTGTAACTAATTGATGTTGCCAACTGAGTCTAAATGAAGTGCAGTTAATTCCTAACATTAATTAAATGTTATTCTCATTAATTTTTTTTCCAAGCTTAATTTTCTTCATTTGTCAAAAACTGCATTTCTTTGATAAAGCATACAGGCAAGTAACATCACTTGCAAGAATGCTCTTTAATTTCCGAGATGTGGTATGTGTTCTGATTTCAATAACATTGTCTATATTATCACTGCAGGGCATGCTGTAATGCTCCTTATGGGCAATCAAGACTGTCCTGATGTAATAACCATGAGTTATAATGAAAATGAGTTATTTTAAGCACAGCTAATGAAACTGTACCAAAATATCCCGCCGAATTCTGTTGACAGGAAATCTCTACAATTTCTGGCTTGGGCATGAAATCAACTGCTACCATTTTGAACAAAATCGTTCCAGTTAATTTGATTCCTTCACAAATGTAAGTGCACTCATTTATCAAGACCAGGGCTGCAGTTGCGAGCTACAATGCTGCACATTACCAAACACAAAAACCTCCAAAAATGAAGCTTTAACCAAAGACGGAGAAACATAATGTTTGAGAAAACTGATAAACATCCAGACGATAGGTTTTTAAATCTGGCGTCATTCAAACATCTGTCTGCATCTCTCACTGTGGACCAGAAATGAAAAGGTTAACACCTACATAACTGCTTTTTTTTTTTTTTTTTTTTGCTAATTTTAATCTATAAGAGAATGTCTTGCAACGTCTTGCATTATATGCATACATACAAAGAGAAAAAGAGAATATCATATAGGATAAAATGTTATTATAGATGTATATATCTATACATTCTTCACACATATGTATTATGGTGGTCAAAAATATCTATTCAGTCATAATTAAATTAAAGGAGCTGCATGCAAATTGGAAATCCCTTCATTGGGTTTGTGTACCTAGGTTATTAATCATTTCAGAAGCCAATAAGTAGAGTAGGATTTCCAATAAAGGAGCACTGAACTCGATGGCTGCCTGTGAAAAATCCAAGCTAAAGCTTTTATTAAGAGAAGGCCTTCACTTCAAAATAGAAAAAAGAAAAGAAATTCTTTTTTAATGGAAAATACCGCAAGGACGTCTGGCAGTACAAAACTAATTCTAATCTTATTTCCATCTGATCCCCTCGAGAAAGACCAGTTTATCAATTCTGACTCCTTCTACCTCACCAGCTTCAATGACAGAGGAAAAGAATAACAAAGCCAAGCTTGCCATCATATCCTTTGGGTGAGGTGTCTTGCCCATGGTGCTTCGGGGTGAGGGACCTCTTGCCATAGGCATGAGGCTGGTTGTCATAACTGTTGCTGTAGTCGAAGCTGGCTTTGGAGTACTTCTCCAGCTCCTTGGCCAGGTTGGATCGTGGAGTACTGGTTGGGACGTTATTTTTGTACCCATACTGTGGGATCTCCAGCTGTTTTACGAAGCACATGGGTCTGGAAGAATTGACAAAGGGAGGAAATCAAGGTTGGGTATCAGAGTCCTGGACATATATCATACTCAAAGTCAAGATGAATCACAGTTCTCAATCCATTTTATATTTGTCATGTAGCACGTTTTTAATTATCTGTATTCATCTTAAAGAGTCAGTTCTCCCTAAAATCAAAAAGATTTATTTTAAGTATTTAAATTATGTTATTTTTTTTAATTACTCAAATATATACAAATACACTCATTATATTATAATAAAAATTAATATATACAAATTCTTATAATATATAATCACATCCAACATAAAAGTTTTTGTTTATATAAAAAATGTTTGTGTACTGTGTATATTTATTATGTATATATAAAGATACACACACATACAGTATATATTGAAAATATTTACATGTATTTAAATGTATATATTTATAGTCATTTAATTTATATTATATATAAATATATTTAATATATAAACAACATATTTTTCTTAAATATATACATGCACATGTGTGTATTTATATATAAATAATAAATATACACAGTACACACACATATATTATGTACACAAAAATGTTTATTTTGGATGCGATTAATCGTGATTAATCGTTGCCCAACACTAAATACAACATCTCTAAAAACCCCCAAAACAATTACTTACACTACTGTCCAAAAGTCTCCTATGCTCACCAAAGCTGGATTAATTTAATAAAAACACAGCAAAAACCAAAATATTGTGCAGATTATTACAATATAAGATAGAAAATGTATTTCTGTGATGGCAAAGCTAAATTTTCAGCAGTCTTCAGTGTCACATGATCCTTCAGAAATCATTCATATAATACAAATATGGAAAAGAAATACAAATAAATATACAGATTACAGTGCAAAGAACGAGTCTGTTTAAATTTAGCAACGTCCACCATCTTAATACCAGGTGTAAACAGGAAATTTGAGACTAGGATCTCTTTATGCTGCTGGGTAACGTTAGTCAAGCAACGAAACAACAGGTCAACAGAGACACGTGTTGCGGGGGTGTGGCATCTGTAATGACACAGCATGTATAAGAGACCATAAAGCTTTAATGAGATGTGCTGGTTATCTGCCATATTGGCATGTTCTCACATAAGGGCTGTAGGTCTCTGGAGGGAAGCCACCACTTCACCTAATGTCACATCACAGCAGGACACACACCTTCAGATCAGGTAACTTCAAATGAAATGGCCGGGGCTTCTCTGTTACGCTGAGCGCAAATGGAGATAAAACAGCTCATTTACAGGAGATAAGGGAAACCTAAGAGCGTACGCCAGCCATTATTCTCATTTCTTTTATGCAGTCTTCAAAAGAACACACAACCTTCAAAACACACACCTTGCAAAGGTGAAAAAAAAAAAACTCAGACAATGTAATGTAACTGAAAAAAGATAAAGCTGTCAGGAAACAAAAGGTTTCAGTATAAACAGTTTCTGTGTATTTGTAAAAGGCAGTAGAGTGAAAAGCTGAATATTCAGCGTCAATTTTCCCACATTCGCAGAGTTTATTCAGGCCACATCTGCAAGAATTTATTTTAACAGCTAAACAGAGGGCCAAGATTTCGGAGTTAAAATATGAAATAAAAACACCATATCAAACCAAAAACTATTTATAGAATTGTCAGCTGCTTGCAGGCCTTGCCTGAAATGTAATTACGGCATTAAAAAAGTTGCATTCTACAGAAAATGGGAGCATGTTTAGTTCGTGGAAAGCACATAAAATATAATGCCGAACACATTAATGGCAAGATCATTTATATGAGGCATTTCAGAGGCTGGAGTTGAACTATAAACTTGCACAAGGTCAGTAAATTGCGTGGTGGATTTGAACAGTTAAAGACTGTAATTATACGCCTGGCAAAGTTTTAAAACATAATGGACACAAATGCCATTTAAGGTTTGGCGTTTACACACATTGATCTGAGCCATTAATTAGTACTAATCCATAGTGATTCAGGGAACATGTAATGCATGTGAGTGTGTCTATTTATACACATTAGCCCAACGGCATTGTTGACGCTCACCACCAAGTCACATTCACAATGCCTGATGATGTGGAGTTAAAATACTTAGTGTGACAGCAGTTACACGACCGTTTAAAAGTCTCTCATGCTCACCAAGGATACAGTAAAATTGTGAAATATTATTACAACCTCAAAATAACTTAAAATATCTGTTTTCTATTTTAAAATGCAATTTATTCCTGTGATGCAAAGCTGAATTTTCAGCAGCCATTACTCTAGTCTTCAGTGTCACATGAAAAAATCATGAAATCTTTCTAATACGCTGATTTGTTGCTCAAGAAACATTTCCTATTATAATTAATGTTGAAAACAGTTGTGCAGCTTAAAGTGATTGTTCACCCAAAAATGGAAATTACCCCATGTTTTATGGATAAAAAAATATGGATATTTTTCTTACACAACCGCATCGATTCACTTCAGAAGGCCTTTATTAACCCCCCGGAGCCATGTGGAGCACTTTTTATGATGAATGGATGCGCTTTATTTTGCTTCAAAGTCTTGACCACCATTCACTGCCATTATAAAGCTTGGATGAGCCAGGACATTTTTTTAATGTAACTCCGATTGTATTCGTCTGAAAGAAGAAAGTCATATACACCTTGGATGGCTTGAGGGCAAGTAAATCATGGGGTAATTTTCATTTTTGGGTGAACTATCCCTTTAATATTTTTGTGGAAACCATGATACATTTTATTTTCAGGATTTTATGATGAATAGAAAGTGTGGATGCAATGATTTTACATTTAAATTTGAATAAAAAATTAAACATTAGCACCAAACATTCTAGCAACTACAATGCAACAACCTGGCAGCTACCTAGAATGCCCTAGAAATCACACAGCAACAATCTAGCAACAAGCAAGCAAGCAACACTCACATTTTATTTAAAACGTTAAAAAAACGTTATTTGCAGAAATAATAGAAATAGCAGAAACCTCCAACTAAAAACATACTAATATGTTTTTATTTAAATAAACATACTACAACAACATTCTAATATGCTATAAATTATGTAAAGAACTACATAAATATGATTTTATTGAAAATAAAAAATCTATGTGCCAGACTGTGATTTTAAGATCCAAACGAATCTAAACATCATTGTTATTTTACACCACTATGGGAATATTTCACAGAACAAGCAGGGAGGAGTATCACACCCTATTTATCTCATCTGTTTATGGTGTATTTTCACCAAAAATGCCCATTAGACACTTCACAGCTGCATACTTGGACTCATTATAGAAACAAAAGCACTGAGTGGAACTACTGCTTCCCTCAAAACTTCATTAGAGCTTGGCCGAGGATGTGTTCAACCTTTAGTTACACAATGTTTTCCCCTCTGGCAACAGGATTGGATGACACAGTGAGTCCAGAGCGTGCACTAAATATGGGATTAAATTACATCGCAGGACTGTGGCAAAACAAAGTGGCGTAATAAAGCCACAGATAAAGTTTGTAGCTTCCAAGGGCGATGGCTAATCTACATGAGCAATTTGTGAGACTGATACAAGCCACTGTGCCTGTGTATAATGTGTGCGAATATCTGTTCCTTTGGAACATAAAATGGTAACAGCACAGTGCTTGACAAACTTGGCATCTTCAGGCCTGCAGATAACCAAGGTAAATGCGGGACGCGGGCTGATTCGTTCTGACACGCCAACCAGAGCATCACTTCCACTTAAGCAAGATGTGCTTTGGACTGGGCCTGCAGATGAGCATCTCCAGGGAGCACGGAGAGCAGGAGAGACAGCTCTATCGGTGGAGATCACAACGTGGCAACACATGCACCCAGAATTAGCATCAAAGAGCTCGGCGGTCTGGGGAACATCCGTTGACACTTCTGCTCGCCCCATGCTAGCTCAGATACGCCTCTTAATCTTTAAAGCATTGTTCAAATGGGAGATTGCAAGAGGAAACTGTTTTAAATTATC